GAATTTTCTTTAAAAATCATGTATTTTCACCATTTTCCTCAATTTTTCCCAACATGGAAACACCCCCAGGAAATTTGGAAACCCCCCCAGATAGGTCTCTGGATCCGCCACTGTGGAGTATTTCACCAGTAGAGAGTGTTTATGATCATGATACAGTATTATCTATTGGAGTATTTCACCAGTACCTTGAGTACCGCCGGGAGGCATCCACTATCTGATAACTGTAATCACGGAAAATACCGGATTTATGTTTCACCCTACACTAGTAGGTGTGTGTTATATAGACTACCGGTTGACCTCTGTTGGTGCTTTTTTAGCTATGTGCTTTGTTAAGTTGATTTATTTACATGTGTATAAGTATGTGACGTAAGGGATTATAATAGGGGGACTGTGTGCGTTGTATTGCATTGATGTATGAAGTTACAGGCAATAAATTAATTTAAAGTGTAATTTGTAGTAATGCATGTTTGTTCATAAAAATAAAGAAATAGAAACAGGTAGTAATTCTGTACACACATTTTATAAATCAATTAATTTGGCAGTTTACTATGATGGTCTTTTGAAGTTTTGTTCACAACACATTTAGCTCCTACCTAAACTTTTCCAGTATCTAAATAGTCCTGGCCTTAATTCCAGCACACACGCAGGCATACACACATACGGGGATATTAGCCAGGTGGCATAGGACTAGAAGTGAGCGCCTGGTACGGCAGCTCCTGCGAATTCTTCAAAATTATATTGATAAATGTATATGCTAATTATTTTAATTGTGTATCTATGTACTGTAAAGCGCTTTAGAGTGGCTTATGTTAGCTAGATATCTAGGGCGCTATATCAAATGTTGTATATCATTATTTTTTTCCCCGCAGTGGGACTCAATCTCGCCAGGTGTAATTATATTTATCTGAGGTATCGTGAACTTTCTGTTTCAAATGCATGTTATCAAGATATGTACAATGAGTGGGAATCGGTTACATTGTAAAAATCGGGTGGCTTCTGTTAAACAAGAACTCTGTTCTATTGGTATGTCGGAGTACTGGCAAGCACAGGGTAGCTTCAATACACATCATTTTTTGGTTTTAGAAAAACAGAGATTGTTAGATATTTTAAACAAGACTGTGAGACTTTTTTCTCCACCTCGTCTAAGTGCAGGGTGTATCAAGATATCATTGATCATGCCTGCCTCCAATCTTACTAAAGTAATCCTATTCCTGTAAAGTACAAAAAAATCAATTGTCAAAATACGACTGTCTTCACACAATCTTTTAATAGAAACTGGAAGGCATAGAAGAATTCCTCATAATTTAAGACTTTGTCCTTTCTGTAAAAATGATAAAAACTCCATTTCATTCTAAAATGCCCCTCCTTCAGCGAACTAAGAAGTAAATATATTAAATTATATTATCGTGGTAATCCCTCTGTCTATAAATTAATCATATTATTATCAACCGGTAATATCAAAGAATTAACTAACCTGGGTAAGTTCATATATCATGCTTGTTTACTACGTTCTGTTGGCTTCTAACTAGTTTGATTTGCCAGCTCTTAGTTCATAAAAAACACCTGTATTTAAATCATAAATTCCATATGCTGATTGCATGTTACAGCCTGTGCTGATTTTGAATGTAGATTATGAATTTTTCCTTTGAATCGATGAGATGCATATGCACAAGATGAAATAAACGATTTGAATTTGAATTTTTGGACACGTGACAGCAGGAACGAATAATAGACACCTTTAAGGCGTTATCATTCTGTTAGAGTTGTCTGTTTGCCTGAACCACACCTGCATCTAGTGCGTCTTGAACAAGTGCCTAAAGGTCTGAGAAACGCTCTGAGGCGTTCTGTCACTGATTTCAAATTGGACACGATCGATATCCTGGTGGTTACACACGCTATACTATCATGATGTTTTTCTCCTTCGATGCCTTTCTTCTCCGTCACAACTGTCTCAGTTCTGTAAAGTATCCGTATGAGTGGTTGTACCTGAAGTTGGTCTGAGAAGGAGACAGCTACTTAGAAAAGAACGGTAACTAAGTGAGAAGAGATGCTGGTTTGTCCTATCATTATATAACCTTACCAACTTTTGATGGCATTCATACCCGCTATTAATGTAACGACTCATTTGTTTACGTTCTCATTATTTTGTCGTCATAAATGTTAACGTGGATACGAATGGCTCTTCTTTGAAGCTGACTGTTTTGTACACAAAACAAGCGTACATTATATATAGATATTTATTTGAATAAAATACTATAACTATATAGTGTAGTACTGGGCAAAGCTAGGCTTACTATCTGTATCGAACGCACCGCCTTAGATTAGAGTAGTTTCCCCTTGCCGGAAGTATTATGAAGCGTTGTCTGACCATGCGAAGTGTGCATGGACGACGTTAGCTTTGATAAAGACAATGCGAATGTTAATTAGCGTCTCTCCTTCTATTACACTGCATTAGGATAAATATACTGAAATTTCAAATAAATGGTAACTAATAAGACCCAGGCATGGCCTGGAGAGAGCGCAGCTCGTACATTTTTTTCAATAGTATAGTATAATTTTTGAATCATAACATTACCCATTTTAATACATACAAAATGTACCTGTAATTGTTTTTTTTATAATATACTTGAATCTGTTGCTGGGCAAAATCATTCATTTTGAAAACAGGCATTGCCTGAAACGAGAGAAGCGTCTAAATGCTGTATTTTTTTCAATTTTATTTTCTAAATAACATTGTTTAAAATATTATCTATTTATTCTTTTTATGGCGATAAATGTAAAATTAATAATAAGTAAAGAAAAGCATTCGAATGAATTATGCAGTTCAAGAGAAAACACAAATGCATTTGGTACTGTTGAATTTAATTGCCCCGTCTATGGCCTCAGCGTAATGTTGCGGAAAGAATGAGGCCCAGTAGAGGGACTTCATATTTGAAGATGTATTGTTTATCAAATATGACTGTTATTATCTGTTATTATAAAAGTTAAGTATATTGGTGATTAAATTCCAATTTTATTTTCCGACATGATATACTTTGTCTGATCCCTCTAAATCGTGTAAAAAGAGAATCACAATAGCCCAAACATATCCGGATTTCCGTCTGGTTTGGTAGTTAATATATAGTTCCGGTTTGGGTGGAGAGAACAAAAGACTGAAAAGTTGAAAGAAGCTTCAGTTTCTATAATTTTTAATGTCATGAATTTACATAACCACAGAAAAAAAAAATCAAATTAAGAGATATTTTTGAGAATCTGTAGCAAAGCTAAACAGCACTGTAAAAATAGGACCGCGGTAACTCTATACTAGCTACTTCCGTGACGAAGGATTTTGGAAGCATAGTATTTCGACGTTACCATGACTTCAATTGTTCGTACATGTTACCGGAAAAGAGTTAGCATTGCGATCAGATTTTAGTTGGCATGGTTTTCAAATATGAATGCTAATTTTGGTTTAAATTCCTAAGTAATCGCTATTTGTTTTTCTCTTACGCCTCTTGTGATTATGGACTTCAGCAATGATTTCACACAACAACACTAACTTTGATTCTCTAATATAGAAATTAGAAATAGTTGGATATGTTGCGTGTTGCATTGTGTTATAAACTCAAAGAAACGACAAACACACGTGTTTGAAACATTAACTTTATATAACAAATACGTGATGTACAGACCGCTCTCATTGGACATCGCCATGACACGTGATACTTTGATGCAGATGCTCTATCCTAAAACAAAACAAAATTGCATCATTACAAGAAAACAACATTATACTTCATGATTTATGTTGGTTGTGTCTTAAATATTAAACAGAATCCCGTCATAAACAAATTTCATATTCAAAATATCCAGAAATTTAGATTTGTAGAGGAGATCGACACATTCATCATAGTCTTAAACATCCATCATAGTTTTACACATCCATCATAGTCTTACACATCCATCATAGTCTTACACATCCATCATTGTCTTACACATTCATCATTGTCTTACACATTCATCATAGTCTTACACATTCATCATGGTCTTACACATCGATGATTGTCTTACACATCCATCATTGTCTTACACATCCATCATAGTCTTACACATCCATCATAGTCCTACACATTCATCATTGTTTTACACATCGATCATTGTCTTACACACCCATCATTGTCATACACATTCATCATTGTCTTACACATCGATCATTGTCTTAAACATCCATCATAATCCTACACACGTATCATAGTCTAACACATCCATCATTGTCTTACGCATCCATCATTGTCTTACACATCCATCATAGTCTTACACATACATCATAGTCTTACACATCCATCATAATCCTACACATCCATCATTGTCTTACACATCCATCATTGTCTTAAACATCCATCATTGTCTTACACAACCATCATAGTCTTACACAACCATCATTGTCTTACACATCCATCATTGTCTTACACATCCATCATTGTCTTACACATCAATCATAGTCTTACACATTCATCATTGTCTTACACATTCATCATAGTCTTACACATTCATCATAGTCTAACACATCCATCATAGTCTTACACATCTATCATAATCTTACACATTCATCATAGTCTTACACATTCATCATAGTCTAACACATCCATCATAGTCTTACACATCCATCATAGTCTTACACATTCATCATAGTCTAACACATCCATCATAGTCTTACACATCCATCATAGTCTTACACATTCATCATAGTCTAACACATCCATCATAGTCTTACACATCCATCATAGTCTTACACATTCATCATAGTCTAACACATCCATCATAGTCTTACACATCCATCATAGTCTTACACATTCATCATAGTCTAACACATCCATCATAGTCTTACACATCCATCATAGTCTTACACATTCATCATAGTCTAACACATCCATCATAGTCTTACACATCCATCATAGTCTTACACATCCATCATAGTCTAACACATCCATCATAATCCTACACATCCATCATTGTCTTACACATCCATCATTGTCTTAAACATCCATCATTGTCTTACACAACCATCATAGTCTTACACAACCATCATTGTCTTACACATCCATCATTGTCTTACACATCCATCATTGTCTTACACATCAATCATAGTCTTACACATTCATCATTGTCTTACACATTCATCATAGTCTTACACATTCATCATAGTCTAACACATCCATCATAGTCTTACACATCTATCATAATCTTACACATTCATCATAGTCTTACACATTCATCATAGTCTAACACATCCATCATAGTCTTACACATCCATCATAGTCTTACACATTCATCATAGTCTTACACATTCATCATAGTCTAACACATCCATCATAGTCTTACACATCCATCATAGTCTTACACATTCATCATAGTCTTACACATTCATCATAGTCTAACACATCCATCATAGTCTTACACATCCATCATAGTCTTACACATTCATCATAGTCTTACACATCCATCATAGTCTAACATATCCATCATAGTCTTACACATCCATCATTGTCTTACACATTCATCATAGTCTAACATATCCATCATAGTCTAACACATCCATTATAGTCTTACACATCCATCATTCTCCTACACATCCATCATATTCTAACATATCCATCATATTCTTACACATTCATCATAATCTTACACATCCATCATTGTCTTACAAATCCATCATAGTCTTACACATCCATCATAGTCTTACACATTCATCATAGTCTAACACATCCATCATAGTCTTACACATCCATCATAGTCTTACACATTCATCATAGTCTTACACATTCATCATAGTCTTACACATCCATCATAGTCTTACACATCCATCATAGTCTTACACATTCATCATAGTCTTACACATCCATCATAGTCTTACACATTCATCATAGTCTTACACATCCATCATAGTCTTACACATTCATCATAGTCTAACACATCCATCATAGTCTTACACATCCATCATAGTCTTACACATTCATCATAGTCTTACACATTCATCATAGTCTAACACATCCATCATAGTCTTACACATCCATCATAGTCTTACACATTCATCATAGTCTTACACATTCATCATAGTCTTACACATCCATCATAGTCTAACACATCCATCATAGTCTTACACATCCATCATAATCTTACACATTCATCATAGTCTTACACATTCATCATAGTCTAACACATCCATCATAGTCTTACACATCCATCATAGTCTTACACATTCATCATAGTCTTACACATTCATCATAGTCTAACACATCCATCATAGTCTTACACATCCATCATAGTCTTACACATTCATCATAGTCTTACACATTCATCATAGTCTAACACATCCATCATAGTCTTACACATCCATCATAGTCTTACACATTCATCATAGTCTTACACATTCATCATAGTCTAACACATCCATCATAGTCTTACACATCCATCATAGTCTTACACATTCATCATAGTCTTACACATCCATCATAGTCTAACATATCCATCATAGTCTTACACATCCATCATTGTCTTACACATTCATCATAGTCTAACATATCCATCATAGTCTAACACATCCATTATAGTCTTACACATCCATCATTCTCCTACACATCCATCATATTCTAACATATCCATCATATTCTTACACATTCATCATAATCTTACACATCCATCATTGTCTTACAAATCCATCATAGTCTTACACATTCATCATTGTCTTACACATTCATCATAGTCTTACACATCCATCATTGTCTTACACATCCATCATTGTCTTACAAATCCATCATAGTCTTACACATTCATCATTGTCTTACACATCCATCATAGTCTTACACATCCATCATAGTCTTACACATTCATCATTGTCTTACACATCCATCATAGTCTTACACATCCATCATTGTCTTACACATCCATCATTGTCTTGTCTTACACATCCATCATTGTCTTACACATCAATCATTGTCTTACACATTCATCATTGTCTTACACATCCATCAGAGACATACACATCCATTATTGTCTTACACATCCATCATAGTCATACACATTCATCATTGTCTTACACATCCATCATTGTCTTACACATCCATCATTGTCTTGCCTTACACATCCATCATTGTCTTACACATCCATTATCGTCTTACACATCCATCATAGTCATACACATTCATCATAGTCTTACATATTCATCAAAGTCTCACACATCCATCATAGTCTTACACATCCATCATTGTCTTACACATTCATCATAGTCTTACACATCCATCAGAGACATACTCATCCATTATTGTCTTACACATCCATCATAGTCATACACATTCATCATAGTCTTACATATTCATCAAAGTCTTACACATCCATCATAGTCTTACACATCCATCATAGTCTTACACATTCATCATTGTCTTACCCATCCATTATTGTCTTACACATCCATCATATTCTTACACATCCATCATTGTTTTTAAGACCTCAACTGTTGTTATTAAGACCTGAACTGTTGTTATTAAGACTTGTAGTGTTGTTATTAAGACCTATAGTGTCGTTATTAAGACTTGTAGTGTTGTAATTAAGACATGTAGTGTTGTTATTAAGACCCATATGTTGGTATTAAGACATGTAGTGTTGTTATTCAGACCTGTATTGTTGTTATTAAGACCCATATTGTTGTTATTAAGACATGTAGTGTTGTTATTAAGACCCATATTGTTGTTATTAAGACCTGTAGTTTTGTTATTAAGACATGTAGTGTTGTTATTCAGACATGTAGTGTTGTTATTAAGATATGTAGTGTTGTTATTAAGACATGTAGTGTTGTTATTAAGACCTGTAGTGTTGTTATTAAGACCCATATGTTGGTATTAAGACATGTAGTGTTGTTATTAAGACATGTGGTGTTGTTATTAAGAACTTTAGTGTTGTTATTAAGACATGTATTTTTGTTATTAAGACATGAAGTGTTGTTATTAAAACATGTAGTGTTGTTATTAAGACCTGTAGTGTTGTTATTAAGACCTGTCGTGTTGTTATTAAGCCATGCATTGTTGTTATTAAGACATGTAGTGTTGTTATTAAGACATATAGTGTTGTTATTAAGACTTGTATTGTTGTTATAAAGACATGTATTGTTGTTATTAAGACATGTGTTGTTGTTATTAAGACTCATTGTGTTGTTATTAAGACATGTAGTGTTGTTATTAAGACATGTAGTGTTGTTATTAAGATCTGTAGTGTTGTTATCAAGACCTATAGTGTTGATTTTAAGACATGCTGTGTTGTTATTAAGACATGTAGTGTTGTTATTAAGACATGTAGTGTTGTTTTTAAGATATGTAGTGTTGTTATTAAGATTTGTAACCTAGATTGGGGAAAGGAAAATTTACCTTATTGGGAATAGAGTTCAGCTTGAATTTACTTCAGATACCGAAGCTTAATTATGACATAAAACTCATTTAACTGAAATCCCTAGTTAGAATATAGAGTAGAAGGTCATTAACACCTATTGGGAAAATTCATATTATTTAATCACTTATGCTTCCTCAATTCAACCATCTTTTTATTGCTCTACCTAACCCTGATGCTAATTTTATATCAGCTCTGAATTCTATCCTATTCTAGTATATGTGGAACAGTAAAACTGACAAAGTAAAGAGGGTTGTTATTATACAACCTATGTGGATTGTGGATTGAAAATGGTTAATGTGGAGGCTTTTACTAACTCTCTGAAACTGAGTTGGGTCAAGAGACTTTTCCTTAGTGAAGGTAAATGGCAGTACATTATCAAGTCTATTGGAGATATTAACCTCCTTGTTAATGTTGGGGATGACTATTTACAAATTTGTTATGATAGATGCTAGAACCAGTTCTGTAAAGATATCCTGAAGACATGGGAAAGACTTAGAAAGGTTGAGAAGGAAAACCCATTTGGACAAGGAAAAGAGGTCACAAAAACTCCAATATGGTTTAATAGACAAATAAGTGTTGGTAGAAGGTCAGTGTTTTATAGAGAATGGTACACCAATGGTATAGTTATAATCAGTGATTTATTCAAGAATGATAACTCTTTTTTCAATTTTCATGAGTTTATAGATTTATTTCAAATTAACAACTTTCGAATGTGTTATGGCTGCAGTAAGACAGTTTTTAGCAGGTAATGACATGCCTTTTGTTAAAGTTTCTTTTCCATATGTTCCAGTAAATTTGGAGAGTTTTATTTTTTCTGCTAAATAGGTTCAAAACGTTTTTTCATTACACTGGTAAATAGAAAAATAGTTCCAACTGGACAGGTTAAATGGAATAGTGAACTTGACATCAATGACCAGCACTGGAAACGAATACATCAAATCCCTTTTAGAGTTACTTCTAATACAAAGCTACAATGGCTTCAGTTTCGAATTTCACATCATATGCTGACAACAAATTCTTTTTTTTTATTTAAAGTGGGTATCTCAGATAATCCTCTATGAACTTTCTGTAATCAGGTCGAAGAAACTATGGTGCATTTATTATGGGAATGCCATGAAGTTAAGTATTTTTGCAAAATTTTGAATCTCTTTTAGATGTATTGCTAATTCCTTTTCAATACAATAAACTCACATTCATATTAGGATTGTTTACACAACCAGAACGGTTTAATAAGAGCGATAACGAAATACTTTTAATAATTAAGCAATACATTTACAGCTCTAGATGCAACAATAAAATGTTGAATAACAACACTCTTATTTTTAAAATCAAGGACCATTACTGTGTGCAACGTTATATTCCAACTGCTAAAGGTGAATATTATCTGCAGAGATTGACTGCATAGTGGGAAAATGGATGAGGCTGATAGAGGTTGTGGACTAATTTCAAATAAAAGTGTACTGACAATTATATACACAAACTTACACACACATGTATTGAATATTTCAAATATATGTATTTTTAAATTAGTACAGTGCTCTAGCAATATATTTTGCTGATTTTGAAAAGTTTTTTTTTTTTTTAAAGTTCTATATGAATATAAGTCAACATCCCTGTCTCTGGTATCTATCCCTAGAATTCATTGATATAATATTTCTATATATCTATGCCTATATTTCCTTTTCTTGTTCAATTTCTTCTTTCTTCTTTCTCTTTCCTTTCTTTTCAACAATATTATATACATGAGATATAGCAAATACAGGGATTTTATCTTTTTGTAGAGTGTATGTGAGTGTGTGTGAGTGAAAGCTTAAGCAAGTGGGTATATCTGTTGATGCTTTTTAAATAAAGTGCAGTGTATGCTTTGGTTCTGTAACAAAGTGTACATGTAGTTATGTATGTATACAATTATAACATGATGTTGCGTGTTTGTCGTAAACTTTGTTTACATGTAACAGGAGATCTTCCTCATTATGAACATGATTGATGATACAGTGTGGTTTAGTGGCAGTGTTGAGGACTGTTATATTAGCAAGATATCAATAATGGTAAAAGTGAGGGTGCTGGTGATGTGCTGAGCTAAATGCAAAAGATTACATTTTTTGTACAGATTGGGGATGATGAGTTGAAATTATGGTGTTATTAATTCAATTGATATTGATACGAATAGCACAGAAAGCAACATATCTTGTGAGGTGTGCTGCTGTAGGCACTCATAATACATGTGATGATGATAATCATGGCCATGATGAGGATTACTATGATGATCAGAGCATTTGATTGGTGATGACCATGATGATCATGATGATGATGATGAGATAGTGATTATGATGATGATGATGGAAATGATGATGATGATATGATGATGATGATGATGATGATGATGATGACAAGTAGTGTTGTTATTAAGACATATAGTGTTGTTATTAAGACATATGATGTTGTTATTAAGACCTGTTGTGTTATTATCATAGTATTTCAGACACTGAGATGGTCAACCCGAGTCAAACTGTATGCAATTCTTTTGCACTATTTGTATTTTCGGTGAGATTTTACCAAACGCAGCAGATTTATCGCTTATCGATTAAATGCTAGATTGTATGGCTTTCAATTGAATAGCATAATCAGTTTCAGATTTAACATTTCATTTCTTCCATTTATTCAATTAGCTTTCAATCTTAAATTTATGCTACTTTCCATATAAAAAAATGACTTTATAGAGACGATTTCACTGAACAAGTCTGGTTTTGAATCACATCAAGATGCTGACATACCATTGTAAAAACATAAGAAACTGTTTTCTATCAATATGGAACAAGGACGTATTTAGTTACACGTGAAACTCGTGTTGTTCCACCTTTCGACACTGAGCATCAGGACACGTATATCTGTTTTCTTTTTTGTTGCAGTAATAACAACAGAACATCTTCATATCAGGATCAGCATCAGAGCATATGGATAACTCTCGGTCCAGGTAACTACATTGACACTCCGGTATTGGATCTGCGCATGCGTGCGATACCACAGGCATAGTAGTGGTAGACCGGTAGCTGTTTCCGCCTATTCAGTGAAGAGTAATAATGCACAATAGATATTGAAAATAAAACAGTTCTGTTAAGTAAATGAATTGAAATAAATTAAGTATAAATTTTAGCGCTACAACAGCTAAAAACATTAAATGACAGTGAAAAGTGAACGCAAATGAATCCGAGGACAATTCTATTCATTATTTATCGAACAGTGTACTGTAGTGCTGGTATCTGACTCGACTTACACATTCCACAGGTTTTCCTGCAAAGTTGTGGTTGAAACTGGCAAACCAAATGGGCTATTTCTTGATCACTGCATCGTTCTCCTATGTCAGAGCAAGACCCTGCAAAACACGAAATCCAATGAAAGTCCGAGAATATCAACAAACATATTACAATCCTGCAAATCAACGTTACATGTTCCTAAGTGGTAACTGTTGTGTGTTATTACATGTTCATATGTGGTAACTGTTGTGTTATAACATGTTCCTAGGTGGTAACTGTAATGTGTCATTACATGTTCCTAGGTGGTAACTGTGTTGTGTCATTACATGTTCCTAGGTGTTAATTGTTGTGTGTTATTACATGTTCCTAGGTGGTAACTGTTGTGTGTTATAACATGATCATATGTGGTAACTGTAATGTGTCATTACATGTTCCTAGGTGGTAACTGTTGTGTGTTATAACATGTTCATATGTGGTAACTGTTGTGTGTCATAACATGCTCATAGGTGGTAACTGTTGTGTCATTACATGTTCCTAGGTGGTAAATGTTGTGTGTTATTACATGTTCCTCGGTGGTAACTGTAATGTGTTATTACATGTTCCTCGGTGGTAACTGTTGTGTGTTATTACATGTTCCTAGGTGGTAACTGTTTTGTGTTATTACATGTTCCTAGGTGGTAAATGTAGTGTGTCATTACATGTTCCTAGGTGGAAACTGCTGTGTGTCATTATGTGTTCCTAGGTGGTAACTGTTGTGTGTTATAACATGTTCCTAGGTGGTAACTGTTGTGTTATTGCATGTTCCTAGGTGGTAACTGTTGTGTGTCATTACATGTTCCTAGGTGTTAACTTTTGTGTGTCATTACATGTTCCTAGGTGGTAGCTGTTGTATGTTATAACATGTTCCTAGGTGGTAACTGTAGTATGTCATTACATGTTCATAGGTGGTAACTGTTGAGTGTTATTTCACGTTCCTGGGTGGTAACTGTTGTGTTCTTACATGTTCCTATGTGGTAACTGTTGTGTGTTATTGCATGTTCCTAGGTGGTCTCGGTTGTGTGTTATTACATGTTCCTAGGTGGACACTGTTGTGTGTTATTACATGTTCCTAGGTGTTAACTGTTGTGTGTTATTACATGTTCCTAGATGGTAACTGTAGTGTGTCATTACATGTTCCTAGGTGGTAACTGTATTGTGTTATTACATGTTCCTAGGTGGTAAATGTTGTGTGTTATTACATGTTACTCGGAGGTAACTGTAATGTGTTATTACATGTTCCTCGGTGGTAACTGTTCTGTGTTATTACATGTTCCTAGGTGGTAACTGTAGTGTGTCATTACATGTTCATAGGTGGTAACTGTTGTGTGTTATTTCACGTTCCTGGGTGGTAACTGTTGTGTTATTACATGTTCCTATGTGGTAACTGTTGTGTGTTATTACATGTTCCTAGGTGGTAACTGTTTTGGGTTATTACATGTTCCTAGGTGGTAACTGTAGTGTGTCATTACATGTTCCTAGGTGGTAGCTGTTGTATGTTATATCATGTTCCTAGGTGGTAACTGTAGTGTGTCATTACATGTTCCCAGGTGGTAACTGTTGTGTGTTATTACATGTTCCTAGGTAGTAACTGGTGTGTGTTATTACATGTTCCTAGGTGGTAACTGTAGTGTGTCATTACATGTTCCTAGGTGGTAACTGTATTGTGTTATTACATGTTCCTAGGTGGTAACTGTAGTGTGTTAATACATGTTCCTAGGTGGTAACTGTTGTGTGTTATTACATGTTCTTAGGTGGTAACTGTTGTGTCATTACATGCTCCTAGGTGGTAACTGTTGTGAGTTATTGCATGTTCCTAGGTGGTATTACATGTTCCCAATTACATGTTCCTAGGTGGTAACTGTTGTGTGTCATCTGTTGTGTCATTACATGCTCCTAGGTGGTAACTGTTGTGAGTTATTGCATGTACCTAGGTGGTAACTGTTGTGTGTCATTACATATTCCTAGGTGTTACTGTTGTGTGTCATTAAATGTTTCTAGGTGGTAACTGTTGTGTTATTACATGTTCCGAGGTGGTCACTGTTGTGTGTCATTGCATGTCCCTAGGTGGTCACTGTTTTGTGTCATTATATGTTTCTAGGTAGTAATTGTTGTTTGTCATTACATGTTCCTAGGTGGTAACTGTTGTGTGTCATTACATCTTCGGTGGTCACTGTTGTGTTTCATTACATGTTCCTAGGTGTTACTGCTGTGTGTCATTACATGTTCCTGGATGGTAACTGTTGTGTGTCATTACGTGTTCCTGGATGGTAACTGTTGTGTGTCATTACACGTTCCTAGGTGGTCACTGTTGTGTGTCATTACATGTTCATATGTGGTAACTGTTGTGTTATAACATGTTCCTAGGTGGTAACTGTAGTGTGTTAATACATGTTCCTAGGGGGTAACTGTTGTGTGTCATTACATCTTCGGTGGTCACTGTTGTGTTTCATTACATGTTCCTAGGTAATAATTGTTGTTTGTCATTACATGTTCCTAGGTGGACACTGTTGTGTGTTATTACATGGTCCTTGGTGGTCACTGTTGTGTGTCATTATATGTAACTGTTGTGTGTCATAATATGTTCCTAGGTGGTCACTGTTGTGGGTCATTATATGTTCCTAGGTGGTCACCATTGTGTGTCATTATATGTTCCTAGGTGTTACTGCAGTGTGTCATTACATGTTCCTGGATGATGTTCCTAGGTAGTAACTGTGGGGTGTCATAACATGCTCATAGGTGGTAACTGTTGTGTCATTACGTGTTCCTAGGTGTTAACTGTTGTGTTATTACATGTTCGTAGGTGGTCACTGTTATGTTTCATTACATGTTCCTAGGTAATAATTGGTGTTTGTCATTACATGTTCCTATATAGGTGGTAACTGTTGTGTTTCATCACATGTGCCTAGGTAGTAACTGTGGTGTGTTATTACACGTTCCTGGATGGTAACTGTTGTGTGTTATTACATGTTCTTAGGTGGTAACTGTTGTGTCATTACATGTTCCTAGGTGTTTAACTGTTGTGTTATTACATGTTCCTAGGTGGTGCTGTTATTACATGTTCCGAGGTGGTAACTGTTGTGTGTCATTATATGTGTTAATACATGTTCCTAGGTGGTAACTGTAGTGTGTTAATACATGTTCCTAGGTGGTAACTGTATTGTGTTATTACATGTTCCTAGGTAGTAACTGTTGTGTGTCATTACATCTTCCTAGGTGGTAACTGTTGTGTTTCTTCACATGTTCCTAGGTAGTAACTGTGGTGTGTTATTACATGTTCCTGGATGGTAACTGTTGTGTGTCATTACGTGTTTCTAGGTGGTAACTGTTGTGTTATAACACGTTCCTAGGTAGTAACTGTTGTGTGTCATTACATATTCCTAGGTGTTACAGTTGTGTGTCATTAAATGTTTCTAGGTGGTAACTGTTGTGTTATAACACGTTCCTAGGTAGTAACTGTTGTGTGTCATTACATCTTCCTAGGTGGTAACTGTTGTGTGTCATTGCATGTTCCTAGGTGGTCGCTGTTGTGTGTCATTATATGTTCCTAGGTGGAAACTGTTGTGTGTCATTGCATGTTCCTAGGTGGTCACTGTTGTGTGTCATAGGTGGTAACTGTGTTGTGTCATTACATGTTCCTAGGTGTTACTGCTGTGTGTCATTACATGTTCCTGGATGATGTTCCTAGGTAGTAACTGTGGTGTGGCATAACATGCTCATAGGTGGTAACAGTAACTGTTGTGTGGCATTACATGTTCCTAGGTGGACACTGTTGTGTGTTATTACATGGTCCTTGGTGGTCACTGTTGTGTGTCATTATATTTAACTGTTGTGTGTCATAATATGTTCCTAGGTGGTCACTGTTGTGGGTCATTAGATGTTCCTAGGTAGTAATTGTTGTTTGTGTGTCATTGCATGTCCCTAGGTGGTCACTGTTTTGTGTCATTATATGTTTCTAGGTACTAATTGTTGTTTGTCATTACATGTTCCTATATAGGTGGTAACTGTTGTGTTTCATCACATGTGCCTAGGTAGTAACTGTGGTGTGTTATTACATGTTCCTGGATGGTATCTGTTGTGTTATTACATGTTCCTAGTGTGTTAATACATGTTCCTAGGGGGTAACTGTTGTGTGTCATTACACGTTCCTAGGTGGTCACTGTTGTGTTTCATTACATGTTCCTAGCTAGTAACTGTGGTGTGTCATAATATGCTCATAGGTGGTAACTGTTGTGTCATTACATGTTCCTAGGTGTTAATTGTTGTGTGTTATTACATGTTCCCAGGTGGTAACTGTTGTGTGTTATAACATGTTCCTAGGTGGTAACTGTAGTGTGTTAATACATGTTCCTAGGGGGTAACTGTTGTGTGTCATTACATATTCCTAGGTGTTACTGTTGTGTGTCATTAAATGTTCCTAGGAGGTAACTGTTGTGTTATTACATGTTCCGAGGTGGTCACTGTTGTGTGTCATTACATGTTCATATGTGGTAACTGTTGTGTTATAACACGTTCCTAGGTAGTAACTGTTGTGTGTTAAAACATGTTCATATTCCTAGGTGGTCACTGTTGTGTGTCATTAGATGTTCCTAGGTAGTAATTGTTGTTTGTCGTTACATGTTCCTAGGTGGTAACTGTTGTTGTGTGTCATTACATGTTCTTAGGTGTTACTGTTGTGTGTTATTACATGTTCCTAGGTGGTTACTGGTGTGTGTCATTAGTAGTTCCTAGGTAGTAATTGTTGTTTGTCATTACATGTTCCTAGGTGGTAACTGTTGTGTTTCATCACATGTTCCTAGGTAGTAACTGTGGTGTGT